CACACACACACACATACACACACCATGTGTTAGCAGTCTGAGAGAGGGGGGGAGGCGGAGGAGAGAGAGGGGTGAAAAAAAGAAGAGAAAGAGAGGGGAAAAAAAGAAGTCAAAGGAAGCATCTCTTAGCAACCACAGGACAGTAATTACTGTAGCAGCAGCTGGGAGCAAACCAGATTTCCGCTGTGCGTTAAAGCACTGGCGTGGGCTACTTTACACACGGCACTGACTAACCAGAGCCAGCAGCCTCCTCCACATGCAGAGCAGAGAGAGGGAGGGAGGGAGAGAGGGTGGGAGAAGGAGAAGAGAGGAGGACTAAACCTTCCTTGATGAGGTAGGGGTGAGTGTGGGAAAAGAGGGGGACAGTTGGTTAGTGTCGACGAGGCCAGTTGGATCATACGTGTGAAGATGCCTCGGCGTGTGTCCATTCATGTTTGTGTGTTTCTGAGTGGGACTTGACCTTGAAGAGACACGTTTCGTAATTTATTCGGCTGCATTGAAAAAGACAACACAGCGTCATAGTTGGAATTGAATCAACTTTTATGATGATTCGTGTTGTGATGTTTGCTGCGTGAACAAGCTGGTTGTGCTGAAATAACGCTGGACACCAAATATCATCAGAAGGCTTGTGATGTAATAAGTGACCATCCTCCCCCATCTCTCATCACCTCTGCACACATGAATCATGAAACCGTTCCTTTTCACTTTGTTGCCATGAGCACTAGAGCGTCACACTTTTTCTATTACAACTATTTATTTCATATTGTGTCTGATGTGTAGACATATTTTTGCTGAATTCGATCTCGTCTTTGACATTCACCAGATGTTATTTATGGACGTATCATCCTCGCTGATGTCAACACTGAGATTCCCTCTTGTAATTATGTGATTGTTTGGCGTGAGGTGGAAGGAATGTTCGCTCCTATTTGCTTTTCCTCGCTCGGTTTCCAACATTTCTCTGATTTCTTTTTTCGTTGCGTGCTTCAAGCGCCTCTTTATTTAGGCCTGTGTTTGTAGATTTTGCATCAGTTAAATGTTTGTGGGAACACATGCAAGGCTGATGGGAACTCTGAGTTCTTAACAGAAGGGCCTTGAGTCATCACCACTCAGCACAGTCATTTGGCCAAGAGTGGGAGCAGGATTCCCCCTGGTGGTTACAAGTGGAACACGCTCAGTCTACACACCCTGAGTCAAAACTGTTGTGGACATGAAAAGTGAACTGATTGACCTGTGGTGCTTTTGAATGTTATGGTAAAATATTGTGACAATCATAGATGTTCAGGTCTCCAAATAATAATTCATGCATTCATTTAAAAATCATGTTATAATGACACACATCACAATTTCTTTTAGAGAAGAGATTTCTTAAAGTAGTATATTGTTACTTAGGTTGCTCTGAAATATTAATGTTATCTTAAAGTGTCAGCGAGTAAAGTACTGGATCATTCTTTTCAGCACATAGATGTTTTTCATTTTCATTTATATTCGTCTTGTCAAGGGGAAACTCAATATCTGGGATATCAGATGATTTTTCTTTTTCTTTCAACCCATCAAACTTACCTGACCTTACTTGATTTCTTTGTCTGAATTTCTCCAGGTGTGTGATGAGCCTCCCTCCATCTGTACGCCAATGAAAGAGCCATTTTCCCCCCTGAACAACGTTGTCTCCAACGAGCCATTCAGGGGCTGCTACGTCCGCGCCCAGCCCTTTGACGAGTTCCCCTCCAGCAACCGCCGCTACCTGCCTCCACAGGTCTGTCTGTCCTCTGCACCATCAGTCGCATCTCCAAGATTTTAATTACATGTTCCCCAAAAAAACATATGTTTGTCATGAAGGTGTTGAGTTGAGTGTAACTTCATGAATTAAAAAGTGAATGTAAAATTCACACCAACTGATGTCTGTCAATTTCTCTTCCTTTTAAGGTCTCCTTCAAGTCGACTCGTCATGTCAGTTTCCACATGGACGAAGAGGAGATCGTTCGCATCAACCCACGCAAAGACGTCATCCGTGGCTACGAGGACTACCGCCACCCTGTCATGTGGAAACAGGAGGCTGACCGCGAGGACATGGACTTCCCCTCCGCCTTCCACAAACTGGACAAGAAGTGCGAGTACCTCTTCCCCGACGGCCCTGGTGGGGACTCCCACTCTGGCCCTGGTTTGGGAATTGGAACAGGTATGGGGCTGGGTTTGGGCAAGGACACAGCCATCAAGACTCAGCCCTCGCCCCTGTTTAAGAAGGGCCGGCGGCGGCGAGAGGACGGTGAGCGCTCACGCTGCATCTACTGTCGAGAGATGTTTAACCACGAAGACAACTGGCGGGGGCAGTGCCAAGATGCCCCCGACCCAATCAAGCAGTGCATCTACAAAGTCAGCTGCATGCTGTGTGCCGAGAGCATGCTGTACCACTGCATGTCCGACTCCGAGGGCGACTTCTCAGACCCCTGCTCATGTGACACATCTGACGAGCAGTTCTGCCTACGCTGGCTGGCCCTGGTGGCGCTCTCCTTCATCGCACCCTGCATGTGCTGCTACCTGCCCCTGCGCGCCTGCCACCATTGTGGCGAGGCCTGCCGCTGCTGTGGGGGCAAGCACAAGGCTGCGGGGTGACCCGACTCCGGGCTCTGGGACACCCTCAAAGCTAGCTAACACAGGAAGTGGATAAAAGCGGAAAATTAAAAGCCGGCATCCTTTTTTCATTCCCCTCTCAGACGGGGTGATATGTTGTTGATCCCCAGCTCTGAGGGCTTTTGGAGATTTCAGTTTGTGTTTGTCGCCGACAAGCAGCAGTGGAGGACAAACCATATGCTTTGTGGGGGCTCTGAGCATCAAGCTAAGTTCAGGAGCTTAATCTAAGGAGAGGAAGAGGAAACTTCAAGATTAATAGACTTGGAGATGTTACTAAACACACCTGTACACACACACACACACAAACACATTCACACACATGCATTGATGGAGCCAGGCCACAAATATCAGAACTCTACTACAAGTTATGTGTAACTTTATGAAGGAAAATTGTCTTTGTACAGAGAGCAGCAAAATAACGACAAAAAAAGAAAACAAAACAATTCTGCATTCAGAAAACTACTTGCTGTTTGAGTATGCTAAAAGGGATATGTTCTTGCTTTTTTGTGAATTTGCAGTTGGGTAACAGTGGCCTTTCCTTCATGGCTTAAGCATTTGCTGACAATGTAAAGACTGGACAAGAAGACAAGTGCACTAGAAATGGTATTTCCCCCGTTAAGTAAACATACCCCTCTCAAATTCTTGGGGTACTCAAGCCACCATATTTACTGTAATTCTAACATTTGAGAGATGTTGCTGTGGTGGATGTTTGGCCAATTGATTTTGCCTGTTTCTGCAGGAACAGCTGGCATAGCTTTTGACATTCATAATAAGATGTTTCAATGATTACCTTGCCTTCCCGAGGTGATTCAGACCATCTGATTGCATTCCAAAATAAAGGGATCGATTCCATGATTAGAAGGGAAAAATGGTAACGACTCTACCATGCTTAGTTCCCCGAAAATAGTGTTTTCAACACCACAAAAACAGCATTAGAACCTCTTGAACCATTCAAATCCAAACCGGATACATGACGATTTCATTTACTCCAGTGAATCTCACTTTTGGTCCTTTTATTTACTGCTGTAGTGAAATTGTTGTTTTGTTTCCTCATTGTTATTTTTCCTGCTCATTTTATAATTATTTTTTGAAACAAAGGCTGAAATGTTGCTCAACCAGCAAGTTTTGTTTTGGTGAGTACAGGGGTTCCAGTGCTCCTTGGTTAAAATGACGAGGCACTTAAATTAGGCTATTCTTTGATTGAGAACACCCTCAGATTTTGGAATTAGTCTGTACATAAATTGTTTTACTAATTTAAACATCTAATTTGGTGTGAGGGGAAACCCTCCTCTAAGCACTGCTCTCCAAACTTTGGTTGCAGCACCCTCTTCAAATTCCCATATTTGTCCCATGAATCGTTTGTTTTCTCAAGTTCTCATCTTATATCTCGTGTAAGCGTAGTACTGTCGTTGTTCTGAAGTTAGTCCACTCCTTCCATGTGTCTTCATTTAAAACCAGGCCCTGAGTGAATGAATGCATTGTTGCAGGAATACCTTAGAGTATCTTAGTCATGTTTAAAAAAAGAAAAGACAAAAAACATCCAGATGTTATGAATGTGTGTGTGTGTCAGTGTGCGGCGTGTGTGTTTGTGTGCATGTGTGTGTGTGTAGGTCTTCATATGCACTGGTGATCTGATGTCATGTAACGTTACCACTGACCATGTGATTAAGGCTTTGACTCTTCACAGTACTGACCCAGCATCAGGTTTCACAAAACGTCCTCCTGTCCTGTCTAAAAGTGAACAAAGAGATGATCAAAAGGTTAATTTGTTATTTCAGGAAATTCACTTAAACCCTCTGAAACTCTCTCATTAACATGTTGTATCCTTTTTCTTTAATTCACTCAAAAAACAAAGTGTAGGAATGAGAATTAATCTGCAACTTGTCGTGTCTACACTTGGTTTATGTAAACAAATGTGAGATAACATGTTAATCAGTGAGCGTCAGAGGTGTATGCGGATTTCTCAGCTCTGAACAGCGCTAGGCTAGCTGTTCCCCAATGTTTCCAGTCTTTATGCTAAGCTAAGCTAACCAGCTAATTCTGGCTGTAGCTTCATGTTTACCGTACAGAATGAGAGCGGCATTGATTTTCTCTCGCATGACCCTTGGAAACACGGCTAATGAGGCCAGGCAGGCTGCAAACCAAAACTGAGCATATCTGACTCACAAAACATTTACTATGTAACAGCTCTGATTGGCTGTCCCGCTGACATTCTTCCTCCCTAAGGCATGTTTGAAATGTGCAGCCAAATCGGTGCAGCAACGTCCATGTTTGCAGTTGCTAACAGATATGCATCTCTTCTCACCTCCCGTCACTCCTGGTTAAAAAGAAAAATGATATAAAAAAAGAATAATGTAGTGGCAGGAGAAACATTCATCTCCCTAACTCCACCCCGACCGATGCTCCCTTTACTTACTATGCAAACTTTCTAACGTGGGAAACACATTGACCTCCGTGCAGAGCGAGTCAGTGACGGGAACAGGACACTTTAACGCTACGTAGGTAGACAAACGAACTCCTGGTACCAAACTCCAAACACCTGTAAATACTTAACACTATATTTAAGTACTGATAATAATCCCAGCTTTTTTTTGTTTGTCTTTTTGTTGAAATTTTAAAGATAGAACTGTATTTATCGTCGCTGTCAGCATATACTGTAGCTTCAATTGACAGCATTATGTACATAGGTCACCTTTTAGTATTATTTCACATTGAAAAGTAGAGGGGCGTCTGTGATGGAAAATGACTATTGAGCTTCTAATAGAGTTTCTCTCTAGTTTTGTACGGTAGAAGGAAGGATAGTGCTAACACGGTACAGTTGTGTCAGTCCACTTGTTTCAAAAGTTTGATATATAAATATATAAATATATATATTTACATACATACATATAAAGCTGCTAGATACAATCACTAATTTTATTGTGTTGACAGAGAAAATCAGCTATGAACGACTGTTAAACCCTAAAATCTCCGGCGGCGTCCGGCGGTCTCGTCGTTCAACGCCACCATACAACCATGACGGCGAGTTTTTAAATGTCCGATTGCTCTGCGTGGTGAAGTGGACTCTTGTGCATGTGTGCGCGAGTGTTACTCTATGTGTGTTCTCGTGTGTCCACAAGTGAGTGTGTGTGTGTGTGTGTGTGTTCTGTGTGCCTGCGGGTTGGTGTGTAACCGAATGTTTGGTTGGTCGCCATATTCTCCCATTGGAATTGGATTGCCCTGCATTTATTGCAAGCTGAACCAAGGTTTGATGAACCTGATTAAAACTTGCTGGCTGAGAAGCAAAATGTAGGATGTGCATTTATACAAAGTGTAGAGAATGCTGAAATAACACTTCTCATTCTGCATTAACCAGCACAGTGCAACTTCCTGTCATGTACTGTATTATATATGCAACATGTGTCTGTCCGCTTTAATATATATATTTTTTTGACCTGCATTATATAAGACTTCAGTTTTAACCACTTTGCTGCTAGTCTTTTATCCTCTTTCAATCTTGGAAAATTGTGCATATCTTTGGGAATGCATACAAGTGTACATTCTTGACATTGTGTAGATTTAAAAAAACAGAAAAAAGCTATATAAACCTGTTTCTCTTCAGTGTATTGTTTTTAAAACGGTTACTTTTCACAGCAGTTGAGTGGTTATGTTTCGATTCTCCGATGCTTTGGTGCACTGATGATACTCTATGTAAGCTTTTTTTCATCTTACAGCGCTTGATGTAACATTTATGTGATTAGTTCTAAATAGTGGAAAACATTTGTGTTTTGAAACTTGCAGTATAAATGGTACTACTCTTAACTATTCTGTAAACACTGCCTGTTTGCTTTCTTTTCTTTTTCCACTCTTTGTGCATATTTCTTTCCTGTGCATCTTTTTTTTCCCCCCTTAGTGCCATCGGCTTTCACATCCTGACAACCTCAAAAAAGTGCCTCACGTCCATCCTAGTTTCCATCTTACAATTTTAACATCTCTCGTTCTGGTTCTATTGGTTTCTACACGTCTAGGTATTTCCTCTCATGGTTCGAGAATACCAAGTATATGATGTAAAATTTATAGTCCCAATAACTCATGTCATAGTTGTATTTTCTTCATACAGATGTAGCTCATTACTTTTCATAAATATATAATGTAAATATGCATACATATGTTTGTAACTGTTTTTATGTTACATCATACACTTGTAATTTGACATATCAAATAACATTATCATAATAAAATGGTGAGTTTTAATCTTTTGCTGTCTAGGCTTTTATTGTGTTCCTCTGTATACGTTTATATCTGAACGTACAGTGGATAAAGTTCATTCAAGCTGACGCTGTGGTCGTCACGACAGATCAGACACAATATAGTTGTGTGCTCGGCAAGAAGAAGAAGAAGAAATAAAGAAGTCAAACCAAAAACTATATTTTCCCTCTGCCAAGGACATTATGTTTTCATCCCTGTCTGTTTTTTTGTTTGGTAGCAACATCGGACAAAAACTACTTGATGGATTACAACGAAACTTGTGGAATGATGAGGTATTTTGGTTCTGATCTGGATCGAGGGTGGAACCAGAATTTCTCAGAAAAGAACTCCAGGATCTTGATGACAAATCAGGCACATTAAGGGAACTGAAATCTGTGTGTGTGTGTGCAAAGTGGTGCAGCTTGATTGAATTTGAATGACACTACTGAGTGCCATTCTAGTTTGATGGGAGCTAACCTGTAGTAGCCAGTAGGTGGCAGAGGAGTAGTCTTGTTCTTCCGTCACACTTCAGATTTTCATGCCTTTATATATGAACAGAAACTTTTAGTTTTTTTTCATCATTAAAGTAATAGTTTGTAATCCATCCAAATAACATGCAAACAATCACTCTTTTTTTTAAGATCTCAGTCCTCATCCCATCTCCAATAAAATGTAAATGTATAAAATCTTTCATCACAAAAGAAAAATCAAAAGAGTTCTTATGACTCTTTATATAAAGAAAGAACAGAGCAGACGTCCTCTGGCCTCTGCTCGGCTCATGGTGAGTGTGTGGAACTGTTGTGCATCAGTGAATATTGTTTGCAGTTGAATTTTGCTTTAACAACCTTTATCCAGAACTAAAGCAGT